CCCGTCGCGGTACCGCCGCGCGCCCCCAGGGGGGGGGGGGGGTGGGAGTGGGGCGGGTCGGGAAGGAGACGGAGCGGGTGTGTCATTGGGACGACACGCAGCAGCACTTTCAGTCGAACACACGAGTCAAGGCCGCGGCCCGTCCTGCCCCGCAGGGCCCATCAACGAGGGCTTTTCCCACTCTTTCTAAAAAAAAAAATACTTTTCCTTGCGCCTCCCCTTTTTCGTATAACTTACAAAATTACGCACCGAGTTGACCAGCAGTTCGCCAACATTAGCGAAATCGTCTTTTTATTCACTTCTTCATGCGAAGTGTGTGTGTTTTGAGGGTAAGGGGTCAAGGGTAGGGAGGGGGGGAGAGGGGGTATCCACCAACGACCAAGCCGGCTTGCAAAAAAGAAAAAAAAACTACTTGAAATTAATTAGTCTTTGCCACAAGAGGGGGAAAGGTAGATGGGGAGGGGAGGTGCTAAAAAAAATCAGTTCGGGGTTGAGGCCATGGTGGAGAGGTCAGGCAGGGGTTGGTTCGTCTTTAGGGTGCGTGTGTATTTCTTGCTGCGCGCATTCGGGAGCACCTTGGCCAAGGTCGTGCCACAAAGGGACGTGCCGCTCGTGGCACTCGGCCCGCCTTGCGCCCCGCCCAGACAGAGGCTAGGTGCTCTGCTATCTCTCGGCCCCCTTTGCCCTCATCGTGTCTAATGACTTGCCTCGTCGGTCCGCAAAACATTCGACCGCATAATGCGGCAGTCAGTCATTGGCACGCGTTAACTACGCGTAAAAATCGTATGTCTGCTCACGAAAAAGTGAATTTGGCTGGTAAGATTGGTCAAGCAAGCGACACAGGGCCTCTCCTGCTACTTATCAACCGCGAGTTTCTTTTTTCGTTAGTTTTCTAGGGGGAATCTCGGCCTTTCCCCCCAGCTGACACACATTCCCACGTCTGGCCGCCGTAAGTGCCACAGGGGAAAAGGGGGGAGGGGAGGGGGTGGTTGTGTCTTAGCCGGGTTAGGTTCCAGCGCCGGACAGCTTTCCTCGTGTTCGCTCCAACTCATTCCATAGTTTTTCCATTTCTCTTCCATTTCGCACCCTTTCCTCTTGGGCTGTCAGCGAAAGGGGGACTGGCTGTCGTGGCGGTGGCCGGCCCCCATACCCCGACCTGACCCCGCCACTCCTGCGCCCCGCCACGCCCGATGCGCGCGCGCTCAGCACTTGGTCACTTTGTCTTCTTATTTCTCTTCTTCGTTACTTGGCACGCGGGCGGGGACACTCCTCTCTGGCTCCGTTGTCATGTCGCATTCAGAAAATAGCCGGAAAGGGGTGGGTTGG